GACCCTGCTGCAGGCTCATGGCGTTGAGGGCGTGGACGAGAGCGGCTTGATCCCACGCCGGCGCCTGGATGCCACTGGGTGCATTGGTTGCGCCGTAGAGCGGGTGAGGAGGAACGGCGCCGGGCTGCCAGTAGGTTGGAGGCGCACTAGCAGGCGGGGATGGCGCCCAGGAGTGAGCCGCCATGCCCGCAAAGGGCGCAGGACCGCCAGGACGCAGGCCGAGGATGCCAGCCCCAGGAGCGTGCGGGCGCCATGGCATGGGCCAGGCATGAACCAGACCCGTCCAGGGTGTCGAGTTTGGAGCAGCAGGGCGAGGGGGGGCACCGCCCCCGCCGTGGTTGGACGACTGGCCACCACCAGAGCCGGACCCCCTCCCCCTTCCTCTGTGTCGGCCACCACCGCGCCCGCCCCCGTTGGAGCGGTTGCTGTGATCGCTGGGGCCGCCTCCGCCCGCGGGTGCAGGCGTGGGCGCGCGCCCGGCATGGAGGGCGATGTCGGGCTGCGTCTCCTCGGCGTTGCGGCTCTCTTCGAGAAGAAGGAAGGCGCGGCACCGGAGCAGCGTCGGGAAGGGAGACTGCATGGTGAGGATGGGAACCGCATACCGGTAGCGAGGGTGGAGGCCGCGGATCATGTTCAGGACCTGGTCGCGGTCGGTGACGCGCTCGCCGAGGTCGGCAAGACGATCAGCACACTCCTTGAGCCTGGCGAAGTAGGAGAGGATGGAGGAGGAACCCTGCTCGATCCGGCGGAACTCCGTGGCGAGGAGGACGAGCTGGTGTTCGCGGTTCTCGAGGAACAGCACGCAGATCGACTCCCACACGGCGGCCGCCCTGGCGCCGCGCTGATGAACCAAGCCGAAGACCTCGGGGCTGATGCGGTTGTAGAGCCACGAGACGACGTGAGCGTCATCCTGGAGCCAGGTAGGGTCCGAGGGACGAGGCGGCCCGGCTATGTGATCGACGACGCCGGACTTCTGAAACTGCACCTCGAAGAGGGTGCGCCACTGGGAGAAGTTCGGCGGATTGAGGGAGAGCACGACGGGGACGTGTTGGTTGATGAACACGCCGGCGAGAGGGGACGGGGAGATGGAAGAGCTCGCCTCGGAGTCATGGCGAGCAAGGAGGGTGCCCTGTGCGAGCGCTGCAGGGGTGACGAGCGGCGGCATGGCGCGGAGAGGTGTGGGGGGAGCGCCGTTGGTTCCGGGTGGACGGAACGGCGGAGGGGGTGGCGGAGGAGGCGGGATGGCCATGGCCGGAGCCGGAGTTGGGGAGCAGCGGAAGAGCGGCTAGGATCGGGGAGAGTAGCCGGTGTCTGATACCATGTGAGCGTGAGAGATGCGAGAGTAAGGCACCGTGTGTGCCGATCTGCTATTGCTCTGTATATATGTACAGGTTACAAGCCGTGCGCAATGGCGCAGTTAGACAGAGAGAGGAGAGGTGCGACGTGCGCAGAGAGGGAGAACGTGTGCAGGACGTGGGCATGCACGTAGAGCGCTAGGAGTCAGTCAACAGTTTGACTTGGTACACAAGCTGATTGAAATTACTCGGATATTCCTGAACAGTTCGAGTCTGTTTTAAAACCAACAGACCTCTCATGCAATCTCTATGCACATCGAGGTCAAATTCCTGCAGCATGGCCACAGAAAACCGACTCCATGATGAACAGTAATCAGACAGTTTATATGACTGGTACCAGTGTGCAGCATTTCCATGTAAGTGCAGAGATGCAGACATTACTTTTAAGTTTTCAGGAGTTTGATACAACAGGAAATAAGCTTCAATTATCAAGTCAAATTCGAATTCCTTCCCCATCAAACTGTGGAAATTCCATCTTAGGCATCCAGGTGCGCTTGGATCCATGCTAGTTAGAGGAAGAATTTTTTTGAGGTGTGTGTGATACCTTTCCTGGATCCACAGGAGGAAGCTGTCCATGTTGCCCCCTGCGAACATGAACCCTTGGCTGCGTCGCCGCTGTGGGCGACACTGCATAACAACCCTTCGCTGCCATCCGCTCCAGATCCGCGTCCCGAACACTGGTGGATTCCTTTAACACTCGCGCCACATGAACCTGTTCCTGATGGATCTCTCCAATAGAGCTCACAAATATGTTTACCTTGGACTGCACCTGATCCAGCCGGGCGACTTATTCCTCAAACTTGTTGTCCAACCCATCCAGTCGCTCCTTGATTTCCAAAATTCCTTCCACTTGCTCCTGCAGTAGCTGCAGAGCCGCAAATGCCTGCGTTACGTTCTCCTCGAATGACCCCATCACCTCTACCTGGTGTCGTGTCTGAGCACTTGGCTTGAACGGCACCGTTGCAGCTTCCTCTGGATTTCTCCAAGGCCGATCTCGGATTTACAGCCAACCGCATGAGCAATTGACAACCGACCAGTCGATGTTACGGAGAGAATCTCGAGTATGTGAAGCACAAGACAGACCTATCTAGCTCTGAATACCACTTGTCATATCCTTGCTGAGGATTTCGTGCCCAGATTTGGGATCGAGAAGAGGATACTTGGGGAAGAAGAAGAAGAAACCAGAGAAATAGTAGGTAGGAGGAGAGAAAATATGAGCTATTTCATTTAGTCGCTGCCAATTCCAGCCAACGGGCGTGCTTATATATAGCTAATACATTTTCACACACTCAGCCCCCAAATGAACATGACACTCGCAGATGGCCCACTAGTTATACAAATATTACCGAAAAAAGCTTTCGCCCCGCTTTATAAATAAAGCAACCACCAGAAGCACAAGGTCCAACAAATGTTCACACCGCACATGCATGCCAAAGTAGCAGACAACAAAGAAAGTACAACAGAGGGTTCTGCTGAGGGCACAGCTCAACAAGCCCTAAAGAGAAAATAAAAGGCGGCAACACATTTCCCTTGGCGCTGCTCTCGACCGCCTTCAGCTTCCTCATCCCTGGTTCTGCAGCCCTCAGGGCGACAGTACTGACAACCATAATTGGAAGGGTATAATCAAATTGTTATATATGCTCCCATAAAAAGCAAGATACGTGGAAAATTGGTAGTTTTGATCACCTTGCAGGTTGTTTTGTTAATGTGGAAAAATTGTATCAGGTTCCTACCTGCACGCCTTGTTGAATGCTAAACAGAATCATGTGCATGGATTAGTTTCCGCAAAATAACTCTACGTGTATGGATTGGTAGTTTGGACCAATATGGAACTGTGGCCATGATATTGTCTTGAGAATTAGGCAAACAGTTAATCCATTATGTGTTGAATGTAGTGCAGCTGTAGCTCTTTTATTCTCATATAGAAGTTCACCCTGATGATCGTCAAAATTACTATGAATTCAATTTTTCTGTGAAGAGATTTATCTTTTTCACTATCTATTCCTGACCTGTCAAAATATTCTATTTACTTCCGTAAAATGGTTCGCAAGGTATCAGAATGAAAGTGAAGGGACTAATTAGTGAAGTTGTAACTAACCACTAGATTTTACTTATTTCACATTCTCTCTCTTTGCATACAGATGGCTATGGGGCTCAATTTTTCTAAATTTGTTGGTTCCTGTGGTTATGCCTCAAGGATATTAATTTCAGATGGCTGAAGTGTTTTGTTTGACAGAGAATGTGCTTCAGTACTAGTGAGTGTCTACCTCTTTCCCAGTTAACCCTCTCTTGTCATAGGATTTCTTGAAAGATAATACCTTGCTGTGAAAATTGTAGAATGATCATGTTTTTTCTTTGTATCCAGGGACTAATCTAGGATCTCTCATGCCCGGGCTTGCCGACTGCATGATGTCTTATGTTAGATGATTAATACGGCGATTTTTATGAAAAAACTAGCATCTTACGCACCTTAATTTGTGTTCTTCCTCGGCTTTCGAGAAGTTTCTGGGTCCGTCACTGTTTGCATCCCTATGATTTTAATGTTTTTAGAGACTCCCTAGAAAATTTAATGGTTATTGAATAAAAATAAAAAGATCTAACCATCTTATCTGGTGGACGCTAGTTTTAACGGCTTGAATTTAATCTGGACTACTAATCTACAAGAAAATAAGAGGCCGTATGTAAAATAAGGAGGTTGATATAATTTGGTGTGATAAAGTTACTAGAATTATGTAATTTGGTACGTTCTGACATTGGTTTACTAAATTATAGTATTTGTTCTCAGCAGTGCACTGTTGTTCTTTAGGCTCAGACAATATTGACAGAATAAAGTTCATTTAGTTTGATTTATATTGCAATTAAGAAGGATGTTGGATTGCCAACCAATGTTGCTGGGATGTAGATTTATGTTTTTACCACCATATGGTCCATTTTATGGTATAAAGTTTTTTAGTTGTCTAAATTTCTTAAGTGTATTTTATGTTGGCTTAATAAGGTTTGTTACAGCAAATGTGATCCTTTTGTATTATTTTCGAGAAAACGCAAAAGCTTTGCGTTTCTTTTCATTGAAAAGGGAGAGGTTCAGTTACAGTCATCCTTTTGTATTAGCAGTATGTGAATTTTTTTCTATTTAAATTTTCCATTGTATAAGCATACCTACTCATTTAGTTTACATCAGATATTTCTACCCTGACTATGGGCTGCTTAAACTAACATGAGTTTCCTTCCTACAAATCTTTATATATTGAAGTGTTTTTAGCACATTATTTGTTTATAATAACTGTGGGCATGTACTGGCGAAGAATTTGCAAAGGATAACAACATATATTGATACTGATATACGGAGTAGAATTTACTTAGCTTCTATCTATTTCCCTTATTCAGCCACCTGTATCACATTCTTATGAGTAAGCATGGTTTGTAAATACAAGTGTTCACAAAAATATTAATGATCGTGTCGTTTTTCAGGAATTGCAATGGACCAAATTGTTGCCCAAGGCCTGGATTCGAAACATGTAGCTGTAATGCTAATCAATCATACCCATTGCTTATCAGTCGTAATCAATTCCTGCCTTTTCAACTTTCTCTTTTTTGGAAAAAGCGGAAGCATTATCGGCCAACTGAAAAGAGTATGTTATAAGTACAATGAAATCTGGGAAAAGAACTATGGTAATTCTTTCTCTTCTATTTGACCTCCATTTGTTCTGTCATACAATCTAACTCACAACAAATTGGAGGAAAGTAATTTATTTTTCCCTAAATTTATTTCTATAAGCAAGAATTTCATCCGCTTTAAAAATAACTGTTTTAAAACATATGCCTAACTTTTCTTCAACATTTCTATTACTCCCTCAGTCCCTTTTTATAAAAGTTAAACTTTTTTCTTATCTTTGACCAGTTTATAGAAAAACTACCAATATGTACAATATTAATTAAATGAAATATGAAAATAAATTTCATGATGGATCTAACGATACTGATTTTGTGTTGTAGATATGATATTTTTCTAGAAACTCATCAAATATAGAAAGGTTTCGCTTTTGAAAAATTAACACACTTCACAAAAATGTACCGAGTGAGTAATAAAAAATAAACCGAGTGAGTACTTATTTGTAGCCCTATTTTTTACGGAAATATTTTAGATATTTTGTGAGCTTGTTAATTAAATTTGCCATCCCGTGCACCTGCACGGGTTGACTATTGTGTCGGGAAAATAAGTCGTGATGCCCAGCCTTCCCATGCAGATGGGAGACGACGACACAGCCGCCGCTCTTTTCCCCTTCCCAAACCCTAGAGTTCGAGGCACTGATCCCCAAGCCAAGGATTTGATGCCGCCGGGAGGAGGAGGTGAGCATGGCTGCACGGAGCAGGACCACCCATTGGCGACCGGTCGCCATGACGAAGGCGCTCCGTCCCATCCTATGCCGCCGCCTCCCCTCATTGTTCCCGTAGCTTCTGAGGTTTGTTCTCCGCCTGTTTCTTGTTCCAATCTTTGATTCATGAAAGGGAACCCGCTCGGGTGACTCGGGCGGAGCCCCAAATCCCTAGCCGACAGGGTCGCCACACCTCCTGTCCACCCCTTTTGTCGCCGCTAGAGGAAGCCGTCGAGCGAAGCCCTGGTGGCTGATTGGGTGGTGCGGGCACCCAAGGGCGCGGGGGCACATCCCTCAGATCTAGGTCACAGCGGAGTGAGGCGGTGTGGTGGTGGTGGGTGGATGCGACGGAGCTGCAAGGGCACCATGGGATGGCTGGTGGTGCGGCTGTGCTGGTGTCCCGCAGGGCCCAGCGGGGACCGGGTGGTTCGAGATCGGGGGCGGGCGCCTCCGTGGTCTTCGGTCAGATCCGCTCGGATCTGGCCTCTGGGCGTCGGCGTGCGGCGTGGGGTTTTGGCAGCGGCCATGTTGGCAACTGCGTGGGTGTGGGCTGCGACGGCGTGGTGGCGGTCCATGGTGGTGGGGCGAGTCGGTTCGGGCGGCTGCGGGACATGCTCCGGCATCTGGCTGTTGGTGAGCTACTCTTGTGGAGGTCCCTAGGTCCTCTCGTGGCGACATGGTGTGGCCGTTCGGGCACCTCCCATCGCCGGGCGTGTGGCCGGTCCCTGCCAGATGATGCAGATCCAGGCCGGGAGTCGAGGTTGGGTGTGTGTGTGTATGGGGGGGGGGGTGACGCTTGGGAGAGGTGTTGGGAGTGGTGGGTGGCGCCAATGCGGTCGGGCCACCCATCACCGGCAGGGGTGCCGGTCGTCGACGTGGTCCGCTCCCGCTTCACCTCTTCTCCGACTTGGTGGCTCCTCGATCGATCTGGTCGTTCTGGCCGCTGGCTGCTTTGTCGGCGGTCAGAGTTTGTCAATCGGCACATCGTTGGCAGCCATGGAGGACCCATGGGGCGTCTTGTTCCCTGGGCGGCGGCCCAAGTGGTGGGAGCGTGGTGGCTGGTGTTTTGACGTTCTGTGGCGGTGAAGGCGGAGTATGCTTGCCAGGGTGACGGAGGCGGCGCCCGTGGACGTCGCCATTTTCCTGAAGTCTCCGTTGTGGTTACTCCTTTCCCTTCGCCGTGCTTCGCATAAAAATCTGGACCATTGGATCGGGTGGTGGCGGCGCTTCGGTGTCGTGTCCTTCCTGAAGGCACCATCTTGGAGCTCACGGTTTGTCAACATTCAACTTCACCTCTTCATGGTTTCTCCGGGAAGGGCTCCGGCGGCTCCTTAGTGATGCTCACTGTCAATCTGTAGTCTGCTTCGAGTTGTGTGGGGTGTTGTTGTTGAGATTCTTTGGCACCTATGTATCTGGCCTTGGGTGAGTGTGGGTGTGGGTGTGTTGTGTTGTGGTTTGTATCAATTGGTATGTTGGTTGTTGCTTTATATCTAAAGCGGGGCGAAAGCCTTTTCCGGTAAAGGGAATAAGGAATCTAAACGTCAGTCTCTATTATTTGTAGAAGAAGAAGAAGAAGCACAAGCAGGGGCAGGAGCACGAGAAACACCCTGCTGGGAGCCTTCCTGAGGGCCCCCTTATCGAGATTCTGTCCCGGGTGCCTTACAAGTCACTCTGCCGCTTCAAGTGCGTGTCCAAGCCGTGGCTTGCCCTCTGCTCCGACCCTGACATCCGCAAGAGGTCACCCCAGACCATGGCAGGTTTCTTCCTCCGCAACTATGGCATGCGCCCCTGTTTCATTAACTTGTCCGGAAGAGGCCAACCCCTGGTCGACCCTTTTCTCTCTTTCTTGCGCGAGAGCTTTAAACTTCTCATCCCCCAGCATTGCTGCGGTGGCCTTGTTCTCTGCAAATACTGGGAATCATATTGTTTTGAGGAAGATGAGTACAATCTTGTCGTGTGCAATCCTGCGACCAAGAAGTGGGCCGAGCTGCCTCCTAATCCTATACAATTGCAAGATGAAGACGAAGAAGAAGTCGAAGAATATTTGTGTTTCGATCCAGCCGTCCCCTCCCGTTTCATGGTATTCACACACACTTGGGATTTCACAGAAGTGACAATCTACTCATCAGACACTGGACGATGGACTACGGTGGAGAGTGGTTGGATTGATAAGACTCCTATTGGTCTTCCTGTGTTCCTGAATGGTACTTTGCATTTGATGACCACTGAATATTCAATAATCACAGTAGACACAGAGGGGAAGGTTTGGGGGCAAATTGATATTCCAGGCAACATGCGAGACAGCTCTGATTATCCGTTCATTGGACAGTCTCAGGGACGATTGTATGCTTGGTGTATAAATGATAATGTTGATGTTTGCCAACTTTTAGTTTGGGCTCTTGAGGATTATGGTGGTGCAAAGTGGGCCTTGAAGGATACTGTTAACATTTCAGAACTGTTTGGAAGGGATCGTTACAAATATGTGGAGCCCTTAGCAATTCATCCAGATTGTGATTTGATTTTCCTTACCGACCGGAGGGGGAAGGCTATCTCATATGATATGGACAGCAAGAAAGTGCATGTTATCGGCACTCACGAAACATTCTATGGTGCTATACCTTATGTTCCATGTTTTGCGGAATGGCCGTCAGATGGTCACTGACCTTGGTGGAACTATATATTGTCTTCATAGAATTCAGCCATGGAGAATATGCAACACCTAGCAACAGCTTTCAGTGGCTAATGCTTAGTTGTATGAATGAGTCTAGGTATTTGATATATCGGCTGCCTCTAGTGCTAATCATTATGGTCACCTGTTAGCTCTTGGTATGGGGTAACTGTGAGGGTATATTATCTATTTTTGAAATTGGTTGGATTTTCACCTCTTTATTTTCCGTTTAAGATTGGAGATGCTTATCTCTTGTTGCAACTTGCAAGTACATTTATCTTTTATGGACAACTTGTTACCCTTCAGTTCTGAATATTGATATCGCCTTGTTCTTATGCACATGTTAAAGACTGGAGATGCCTATCTCTTGTACGTTTATTATTCTTCCATTTTATTTCACTTCATTAGGGGAAGAGGATTTTTCGAGGGGAGGAGAATAACATGACCCTCTCTGTGTGACCATTCTCCTATTTGAATTCTGACTATGCTGTCTGACTAAATCTATTTTTGAGCATCTTGCGATTTTGTTTACTGTGATGTTAGTTTACAGATTTTTCTCATCTTCTTCCAAAATTGTGCAGTGAGTTCCTAAACATGCAAATTGAATTATTTGCATATTGTCTGAGATTATAACTGTTTGTCCAAGAAGACGACATTTTCCTTCAGTGAAATGTGATCACCAAAGGTTTTGATCAGTCAAGGCATGCATTTTCCCATCATAAACCTGAGCATTGCGATTGTCAAGTCTTGGTTCCAGCGACAGTTTTCTTTACCTGTATATATAAGCGTGAGCCTGAGAGACTATCTAGAGGATGGCCACTGACAGAGAAAATAAGCCAAGAACTATATAGTCACCAAGGTGTCTCTTTCTTGTTTTCAAGCCCAAAACGCGTTGCATCCCGAACTCCCGGTTCCTTCCAATCAGATACAGTGAGGATTACAACATGGAAAGCCTCTAAGTATTGTCCATAATTAAGCGGAAACTATATCTTTCTTTGGCAGAGAAATAACAGAGTAGTATTGATCCAGTTAACAAACATCAAAACATAGATGAAACTATTTTGACATCTCCTAATAAGGAATTAAAGAGCAGGGGCGCCTTGCTTTACTAACCGGAAGCATTCTAAGGTAACAAAATAACCAGAGCCAATTGCCTGGTAAGCCTGGAGAAATGCAATGGACTACCAAGGCAAAATAAATAAACAAAGTGATGCCACTTTTGCATCTCCTCCATATAAAGCAAGCACACAGGCATTCATAAAACAACAGAACCACCTGATACTGTCACAAAGTCTGGAAACCAGGCAAGTACCCATTGCAACTAAAATATCTACTAATGTTAAAGATCTACTCCCTCCGTTCTAAAATAGATGACTCAACTTTATACCAACTTCAATACAAAGTTGAGTCATCTATTTTGAAACGGAGGGAGTAGAAACCATGAACTGTTACCATTGCCAAAATACTAGGCATCACTCTGCCGAGGGCATGGCAATCAGCTTCATCACAACAAAAGGGCAGCTCACATACACATGCTGGAAGCTGTCAGTGGCCACAACTGCCCTCCAGTTTGCAGGGGAGCTGAGGAAATCAAAGCATGCCTTCTTCAGCCCAACACAGTGGTGCTGATCAGCGAGAGCCAGGATGGTTGCAACTATGCCCACATTGATGTACTCACATAGCTTTTCCTCGCAAACCAGCTTCAGCCTCTCCATGTTATACCTGTCTGCCGCGACAAGTAGATGCTGGAACACGGTATCTTCATCTTCTTCTTTTGTCTCTAGTAACTTGTCGGTGTAGGCGAAATAGAGCAATGCATTTGAACACGGTATCCACATCGATGTACTCACATAGCTTTCCAAAACTGATGATATTCTTTGAAATACGAGAACATTTTTGAAAAAAATTGATGACTTTTTTGAATTTGTGATTTTTTTAATTGATGAACTTTTTTCAAATTTTATTATTTTTTTGTGAAAATGGTGAATGTTTCTAATCGACGAACTTTTTTTTTCTAAAATTGATGAACTTTATTTTTCAAATTGATGATTTTTTTTTTGAAATTCGTGAACTGTTCTTTCAAGTCAATGAACGTTCTTCAAAAGACCAGTTATTTTTAGAAATTCGTGAGTTTTTTCAAAATCATTGAACTCTATTCAGATTTGTAACAATTTTTTCAAATTCGATCATTTTTTTTGAATTTTCAAAATCCTTTTGAATTTAAGATTTTTTTTAACATTTTGTGAACTTTTTTATAAAAGTTAATCGCCAAACAACATGGTCAGTTGTGCATGATTACGGTGAACAGTCAACTACTACTTGTTCTGTCAAAAAACATTTTACACTATGAAACGGAGGGAGTGGCTACCTTTTCTTTTAGAAATGGCAACTAGCGACTTTTTTTCTTTGAGGTGTGGCAACTAGCGACATGGGATTTAGCAAAGAGCGACCCGAGCGAGTGAGAGGAGTAACGATGGAGCGCTCATGCTTAATGGGCCGGATCAATCAACTTTCTATGTGGGCGCCAGAACCACGAATCGGCGCTGAAGGCACCATTAGATGAGATCATTAATTGAGAAGTACTGCTTTCAAAGATCATTTTCACCTCGCCAGGTTGCGGAATATGATTTTTTTTTCTTTTTATATGGATTAGTTTATTCAGAATGTTTTATCTCTTAAATCATACATCCAAATCTTGAACCGTTTTTACCGTTGGATTCCTTGTATCCAGACCTTCAAAACTAGATCCATGTTGATAGGTTTTGTTGAACTTTTTTTTTTCATGAAAGAACCGGATAAAAAACCAGATGAAAAAAACCAAACTGAAAACACACTTTTTTCCCTTTCTGAAAGCCTTTTCCGAGAGGCACGGACGGAAGCAAAAACCGTGCCTCTCACGGAAGAAAAAAACAATAGAAAACATGTTTTTTCCGTTTTTGAGAGGCACGGCCATGCCTCTCGCGGAAGCAAAACCGTGCCTCCTACAGAAGCAAAATCGTACATCTCACGGCAGGAAAAAAACATGTTTTTTTGCCGAGAGGCACGAGCATGCCTCTCGCGGAAGCAAAATCATGCCTTTACGGAAGAAAAAAAATAGAAAACATATTTTTCCGTTTCCGAGACGTATGGTCGTGCCTCTCACGAAAGCAAATCCATGCCTCTCGCGGAAGCAAAACCATGCATCTCGCGGAAGCAAAAGGAAAAAAAAAAGAAAACCATGTTTTTTTTCATTTTCGAGAGGCCGTGCCTCTCGCGAAAGCAAATTCACGCCTCTCGTAGAAGCAAAAAAAATGTGGTTTTCTTGCGAAAAGTAATTTTTTTCCATTTTTTCGCCCAAGAGCTTAGAAAGGGCGGTGGAAGACCCAAAAGCCAAAAAACAGAAGAAAGCCGTACAAAAAGTCAAAAACGAGTGCGGAAATATATTAAAAATGCGAGGGAGTGTCTAGAGCGCGACACATGATGACGGCTAAGAGCGTGCAAAGTGACGCGCTCTTAGCCCACCCCAAGTGATCGTTGGGATGCTCCCCAAGGAGCGCTTGTCTGCTCTCCCCATTGGAACCTCGTTCGAATCCCACACACTACTATTTTTGATGTTTCTAGAATGCAAAAAAAATGGGCCAAGCCCAGGGCGGAGTTTGTGCGCGAGTTTGCCGAAAACGAAGAAACATGCGCTTCCCCCAAAAAACCCCAAACAAACGGGCGCTTAAGGCACCCGATAGGAAATGCTGCCCTTTTTTGGTTTACTAGAACAATGCCCGTGCTGCAACGAAAAATTAGTATTTTAGTACATTAGTTTGTGTTTTACCTGTTAATAATAGTGCGATTGTACAAATAAATGTTTATTAAATTCTGACCATGAATTATCTTTTATTTTGATTAGAAGTTTGGTAAGTAAATTAAAGTGAAATTTGTTCAGAAGGTAAGTAATTAAGATTATTGATTATCATATACATGGAAGATTGGACGAAGGGATGGTGGAAAGAAACATGAAATGTCAACTTTACGTTCTTAAGTACTTAACTAGAACGGTACCCGTGCGTTGCAACGGGATATAAATGTTGTAGTACGTTAGCTTGTGATTTACCTGTTAATAATAATAAGATTGTGTAAATAAATGTTCATCAAATTCTGACCGTAAATTACCTTTTATATTGATTAGAAGTTTGGTAAGTAAATTAAAGTAAAATTGGTTCAGAAGGTAAGTCAATAAAGGTAATTGATTATCATATACATGGAAGGTTGGACAAATGGGTGGTGAAAAGACAGGTGAAATGGGAACCTTACTTTTTTTGAAGGGAAGGCCATCATGGCTAGCTTTATTGATTAAAAGAAGGAATAACATCATCCACAAGTACGGAAACGAGACAGTCCAAGAGCTCGTCCGTCCAACTAGAAGAAAACTGATTACAGTAACTAAACTTAGCTAGCACATGCGCTGCTTGGTTACAAGAGCGTGAACATTGTAAAACTGACCTTCCCGATCAACGAAGATAGATCCACACATTCAGCGAAAGTTGCTGCTGCTTCATTCCACCATGTCGTTTGACCCGCACATGATTCAATCACAATTGAGGAATCCGATTCTGCTTCAACCCGAGGAAAGCCCAAGAAATTTGCAAAGGCTAAACCATCTTTCATTGCCCTTGCCTCGGTGGAAACTACACTAGCTTCATGGGGAATGAAAATGCATTTTGCCGCCAAGAAAATTCCCTTCTCATCCCTAATCACTGCAACTGTCGCGCCCACACCTTCATCTATATAGTAAGCTGCATCCACATTCAACTTAATGAATTTGATATCTGGTCTGGCCCATCTCTCCTCAGGAATACTCCTTCTCTTCTCATTAGCCTGGTGAAAATTATTGGTAATAGCAAGAAGCGATAGAGGCCATTTAAATATCGGTGGAGGTGTACCATTATGGGTATATTGCCGACGGATCCACCATAGATACCAACTTCCCACCGCTAAAACTTGTTTGATGTCCAGATTTGGTT